TGTCCCTCTAGCGAACCTTACCTGACACATCCCCCTTGTGCCTTGGCTCAGGTATTCTCTTTGCCTAATTAGCAGTTTAATGGGTCAATAATCAGCCTTGTCTCAGCAGCTACCTCCATTCAGGACAGGTTTCTGCTCCCATTCCTCTCCGAATCTCCCATCCTCCTAGGGAGGAGGGACTCTTGCTGGCTGCTCCCCACCTAGTTGCCCGACTTCTCTCTGGGGACCTGAATCGGGCCCCTCCACAGCTCCCCACTGATCTGCAGCCTGCAGGCAGCAATCTCTCTGTTCCCGAAGGAGCACCGTGTCATCATTCCCACCAGAAAGTCGATGCCTACTTTATCATGGGCAAATCTTCTTACTGGAAACAATTGTGCGGGATCGTGGGAGGCTGCCTCCTACCAAGTCCCATGAGCATCTTATTCTTGCTGGGAAGAAAGCAATGACATAGCTGGGGCGACACCACTTGGGAGTGGACAGAGCCTCTCGCCCTTTGACATAGAGCTGGTTTGAAGGCTTAGATGTCGGCTTCTCTGAGACCCAACACAGAGTGCATTGGTCAGGCCTGGGTTTGGCAGATTCAGCTGGACTTAGAGCCTCTGGCCCAGGGGGCAGGACCCTTCCTCACCCCATGCTCCAACTGCCACTGCTCTAACTGTCGCTGGAACTTTGCCTCTCTCCTCCAGGACTTGCCCACCCTTTGGATGTCTGCTGGCTCAGCACAGCTCTTTTGAGGTGAAAGCCTCATTTCAGTGATTTAGGCACTAGGTGAATGTAGTTTTATGCAGAAAAATCAACTACTTTTTGGTTTTGCTTATGTTGTATTGCTTATTGTTTTTAAATGCTTTGAAAAATCTTGCTGCCTCTCGCTCTTCTGATTTGCAGGGCACCGGGAAGGGAACCCACGTGGGTATCTGAAGATCTTTTGGTGCTGTTCAGCTGTGCTTGAGGGCTACTTTCTCAGAGGTGCTCCAGAAGAGAAGAAGAGAGAAGTACTTACTTTTCTCTTCACAATGTAAATATATTATCATTTTAAGTAATAAATTTTCATTGTAAAAATCCACACCATTAAGAATGTGTCCCCCAACTCTACTGTGTCACAGATCATCCTAAAGACACTTTGTAGCGTATCTTTCAGTCTCTGGGAGTGTGTGTGTGTGCGCTCATGTGTGTAAAATATAAACATAACTTTGCTAAATAATGTCTGTATTCTTACTTTGTAAATTCAGAGTTATCGCAGTGAACTTTCCATAGCGATATATCTATATATTTATGTCTATGTCCATGTCTATATGTATCTTTTTTCTGTGCCAAAATTAATGTATTCTCCTATTAATAGACATTAACTATAAATAATGAATCATGTAATGAACTTCTTTTTCTGTGCATCTTTGCCTATTTGTGCACATTTATGGGATACATTCCTAAAAACAGAAACTTTGGTTTTAAGGTAACACATTCCAGAAATGCTACTAAACTGTCAGTTTACACTGCTGTGAGTCACCCCTGGGCTGCTTTGTCCCAAGGCTCAGGAGAGTTTAGTGTCTGGGGCCTAAATTGTTTTGTGGTCTGTGGAAATATTTTCATTTTGTTTAAAATTTGGAGAACAAAATCAATATGATAATGAATATCTAATATATAATGAATCCAGACTAAAACATTCATATTTATAGAAGTGCAATTATAAGAGATAATTTCAAAAATAAAATACTGAATTTTTATAATTTGAATATATTGAATTGTTATAATTATTTGTTGTACAGTTACTTAATTTTTTCTAGGGGAAAGAATCCAAGTATGTGTGGACCCTATGTAAGTCGTATTGTGGCCCTGGACTTTCTATTTCTTTATATTCTTGTGATTCTGAGAATTAGCTTTACAGCCTTTGCTCATCTGTAAAAAAATGACATTTCAAAAAATAAAATAAAAAATGGCATTTCACTATTGTTTTTACCCATAGTTCTTTAGTCATTTGTGAGGTATCATCTCCTAAGATTTAAACTTTATGAATTTCCTATGTATGTTATCTTTTACTGGGCTCTCCATATTTTCCCGTTAAAGTCTTTTTTATAGTCTAGTAAACATTGCAAATGCTTTTGTCATTTTGCATTTTACATTTATAGTCTTTGTAATGGCCTCTAAAGTGTTCCTGTACTCCAAAATTTGCCCAGCATTTCTTTTATATCATTCCTACAAAGGCTTATATAATTATTTCTTATAGAATAGTTACAGTTATTATTATATATGATAATATTTTAAATCCACCTGGGATACTTTTTTTTTTTGGTACTGGGGATCGAACTCGGTTCTTTGTGCTTTTGTGCTTGCAAGGCAGGCAGCAGAACTTCTGAGCAAAATCCCTGGCCTGGGATTCATTTTTATATAATATGAAATAACTTTAAAAATTATTTTATTTTTCAAGGTGAATACCTAATTGTTCCAATACCATGGAATAATAATTTGAAATTCTACCTGTAGCAAATTTTAAATTCTCGTATCTCATATGTGTGTGTGTGCGTGCATGATATATATGTTTGTTTTTTAAATCTCTTCCATTCCATTGTTCTACTTCCACGATAGACCACAGTTTTAATTATATAGCTTTATGATATTTTGATTTCTGATAAAGTAAATCACTACCCTTTCTCCCACATTCTTTTTCAATTTTTTCCGTACTCTTTTTCAATGTTTTTGACATTTACTCTTTCTGATTAACTTTTTTTTTTTTTCAGTACCAGGAATCAAACTCAGGACCTTGAGCTTGCAAGGCAGGCAGCAGCACCACTGAGCTAAAATCCCCCCCACCCCCCTGCCGGCCCTTCTGATGAACTTTAGAATTACAGTTTCAAGAAATGAAAAAAAAAAACAAACAAAACCCTTATAAATCTTGTAAAATTTAGAGATTACTTTGAGAAGGGAAAAGTTTACCAAAACACATCTGCTTCTCCAAGAGCCTGGTATTTTGTTCAGATTATGCCATTCTCACTTGGCCTTCAGGTGTCTGAGCCTTTACTCTCTCCCCAGTTTTCTTCTCATCCTCCCCCACTGGCTGTGGACAGGAAGCTGCAAGGAATGGCTTGCATCAGTCTGCCTATTTCCCATGAGATGAATGGAGGACTTCGCCTTTGCTATTTTTGTCCATCTTGAGGTTTTCTAACCACTGTGCTATGGTTACAAAGTGCTGTGGCAGAGCCTGTCGTCCTTTCTTGTCTGCACGTCTTATCTCTTGGCTTCCACTCAGTTTTACTCTGGTCTATTCTCTAGACCTAGAGATCTTTCTAGTTAGATCCCCATGGTCCCCTACTTGAAAACTTTCAGTGATTGTTCATTGGATTAGTTTCCTGTTGCTGCTTCTACAAATCTTCATGCACTTAATGCCTTAAAACAATACAAATTTATTATCTTATCGTTTCACAGGTCAGAAGTCCAGAATTAGTTTCACTGGGTCAAAAATCAAGGTGCCAGCAGGGCTGCATTCATTTGTGAAGGCTCTAGGAGGAAATTAATTTCCTTGCCTTTTCTACCTCCTAGATGCCACTTACATTCCTTGGTTCATGGCCCCTTCCTCCATCTTCAAAGGCAACTCTTTATCACTCAGTCCCTCTTGTATCACTCTTATAAGTATGATCATAAGTACCTTTGTGATTCAGCTGGACCCCAAATCATCTCCCCATCTCAAAACCTTTAATTGAATCTTCAATTTTAATTTGGACATGCAAAGTAGTGTTCACAGGTTCCAAAGATTAGAATATAGACATTATCTGGGGCCATTATTCTGCCTCTTACACCCATGCCTTTCAGGATGAAGTCCAGACTCCTTAAGGTGGGTTGCCAGTCCCAAGTGATGTGTTCCTGGTGCCCTCTTTTAACCTCACTACCCTCTTGAAGTCCCTACTTCGGCCTTGTGAATTTTTTTCAGTTTCTTCCTCCAGTTCTGGTCCAGGCTAGCTGCTCTGCCTGGGAATACCTTTTGCTACCACTACACCTGACCAATTCCTAATTCAACTTCCAGCTTCATTCACCCTTTCAGCTCTTGGAAACCTCTTGTACACCTTGCCCTCCAGACTTTGTGAATGGCTTTCATATTATCCTCCCATGTTCCTGATCTGCTTATATTGCCTTTCAGTTTACTCCTCGTCTGATTATGTTTTTATCCAAAATGTAAGCTCTTGGAGGGCAGACACAATGATGGAATTTCCATACTTGGGGGTCCTTAACTCCTTGCTGAATGAATTTATAACAATATTAATTCTATAATAGAATGCAAATTATGTGACTCTTTGGCCTTATATTAAAAATATTTGTTCATAATTCATTTAATAATTGTTTCTTAAGCACCAACTTGGTAAGCACTGACAGTTAAAATCAGAAAACCAAGACAGTTAAAATTAGAAAACCACTGCCTGAACGTTGTGAGGATGCTAGAGTTGAATAGGTATGATCATAAGGATATGAAAAGAGTTTTTTCCCCTCCAGGGAAATGGACTTGCAGGTCATTGTGCCAGTTGACCTCGGTTCTGGAGATCATCAGCACCTGGCTCGGAAAGCAGTAGATGAAGGTGCATCCCAATCTGGTCGGCCCTCCACATCTTCACCTGCAGAGAAGCCAAAGGAAGCTAAAGGAAATCCAAGCCCAAAGGCTGACAAGCGAGCAAACATCTATGTGATACAAATTTCAGATGACCCAACCCCAAATGACAGCAGTGAAACAACAACACCCAGTCCACTCTCAGACAGATCTGTCCGCCAAGGTGAGAAGAAAGAAATTACCTACTGGGTGTGGTTCCACAAACCTGTAATATTAACACTCTGGGAGGCTGAAGCTAAGGGTCAAAAGTTCAAGCCCAGCCTGAGCAACTTAGTGACTTAGTGACACTCTGTTTTAAAATTTTTAAAAGGAGGGAGTTGGGGTGGGGGGAGCTCAGTGCAAAGGCCCTGGGTTCAACCCCCAGTACTGCAAAAAGAAAAACAAAACAAAAATAAAACTTTTAAAAGAGAAGATGTTCTCTTAAAATGTTTCCACAATGTAGAATATCAGAAAGATGTCATGTTGTGTTCAGCTTTTCTTATTCATGTTTTATCATGAAACATGCATGATATAAGGCAGCTATAATCAACTACTCCAAAATTGTCCAGAAGATTTGGGAATTTGTTTTTCTTTGATATTTTGGGGCTTCCCTGGATAGACCCTGAGGTCTCCAATTGATCTATGTGCCCATTCTTACGAAGCTGTATGAACCACATTTAATACTTATTCCCACACAGTCCTTACTACACATCAGGCGCCAAAATAATGTTAGCTAAATGAGTATTTTCATGCAGGCACATACATTTGAGTACATATGCTCTAGTACGTTGATTTTATTTTATTATTTTATTTTCTGATACTGGTGATCAAACTCAGGATCTCATATTTGCAAGGCAGTTACAGCACCACTGCGCTAAATGCCCAGCCAGCGTCCCATTCTTATTTTCATACCTCCTATGCACAGAAATGATCCAGCAAAAGGACCAAGCTGACCATCCTACAAGTTAACTTTGAGCAGCAGTGTTTCATTTCTTTTTCCTTTTAAAATTGGGATAAAGCCACCCCAAAAAGAAAGAAAACAGTTGTCATTGCCAGCGCCACAGTCAAAGGGCCCCAGGAAAACCCATGTGGTAGGAAACAAACAAACGGAGAGGCAAGTCACCCACTTGGAAATCTTTGGTTTAGCTTCCAACTCTCCAGGTGAGCTATTTTCTACCTCAGTCAGTAGGAGGGAGAAAGTTGCTGAGGGAAGGTAGTCCGAAGACAGAAGAGGCTGAGAATCTGTGCAAACTCTTTGCAGCCCAAGGCCATCTCCTGAGCAGCAAACATCTGTGCAAGTGTGCAGCTGGATTCCTACTGATGGCCTGGCCACAACCTGAGACTTTCAGATCATTTTTGGTCCTCACGAGGACGAGGTGTGCATCATAAGGAATTAAATCCCTAAATTTGTCTTTGAAATTTTGGGTTTTCCAATAAGACAACTTTAACAATTGAACTGAATATTCTTTTGTTTGCTTGTTTGTTCTTGAGATGGGATTTCTCCTCTATGGCCTGGACTGGTGTCACATTCTGGGCTCAAACAATTCTCCTGCCTTGGCGTCTCCGTAGCTGCTCACCATTCTGAGTGGCTTTGGTGGAATAGTCTTTAATTCTGCAGAGCTGTGCTTTCGCTGTTATTCCATTTGCTGCGAACTGGCATTACCCTTCCCACTCCTAAAAAACAAAACAAAACAAAACAAAAAACAAGGGGAAATATCTTTCATTAAGTATCAAAAGTAGGTAATTACATTTAAATTTTGAAAATTGTGTCATTAAAATAGTGTTTCTGTCTCCTCAGCTTTTGTTGCAAAAGTGTTCCTCCTCCTGTCAGCTCAGCTGTTAATCACTGCCATAATTATTGGTACATTTGTCTTCTGGTAAGTCTTTATTACTGATGTAGAATTAAAGGTTAAGTCATTCACATTCATGCTCATGAATCAGCTTGTTTTAGTATTCATTATTTTAAAATTATCTTTTTTTCTCTCTTGGCCATTAATAGAAGGTAGTGTTTCTACAGGTTTGTTTTCTGAACCAACTCCTAGACCCAGGTGATAGTAGCTTTCAAGAATTTTAACTTCCTATGCCAGTAACTTTGTTTTAGCTTTTACGTTGGGGACTATTTTCTTTTTCATTTTCTCTGAGCTGTTTTAGCAGATAAAACTGCATAAAAGGATAAAGCAAGGTTATGGAGACATTAGGGGCCGAAACTGTTAAATTCATACATTATTCGAGGAACTTGATCCATCACTGATTAAGTGTATCCTATGAAAAATCTGTATTTTTGAAACAAGTATATGAGTCGATTTCTTTTTCCTTTGTACACATCTCAATCCTGGTATTTTTTGAAATGAAGAACTTCCTTAGGTGTTTGCATTTGTTTAAAGTTGACTTACAATTTATGCAAATATCTTCTTGTATAGATGTTTTTGTTCTTGGTCCTGGGAATTTGAACCCGGGGCCTCATGGAGGCTGGGTAGGTACCCTCTACCACTGAGCTACATCCCCAGCGACCTATTTATCTCTGAGGAGGAAGAATGTTTCATAGCTTCCTCTCCATCTGTCATTACTAATGATTTAGTTCTCCCCATTCTCCTTATGATATTTTCTTCTACTGAAATGTTAAATTAGTTAACAAAGTATGCTATCTTATTGTGTAAAACGACATTAATTTTTTTTTTCAACCAGGAAAGCTTTAAGAGTGTGGGTGGTTACACACCCCTGGTTCATATGTGCACTCTTGTAAGTATCATTGACTTTAATAAAACATGGTTTTTCTACGAGCTAGCCACTGAGATTTTATTGCTATTAAAAATAAGGTAAAAGCATAATATTCTTAAAAATAACAAAATTATAGAGATGGAAAGCAAAAACATTAATGGTTGCTTGGAGTTAGGGTTGAATGTGTGTGTGGGTGAGTTACCATGTAGGGGTAGCACCAGACAGATCTTCACTGATGTGTGGCTGATGGCATAGTTCTAAATCCAGAGTGTGGTGGTGCTTGTTTGTATCTCCACACAGATTTGCATCATTTAAGAACTATCTATATGCATTATATCAGTATCAAATTACTGGTGTTGCTATTACACTCTAAATATATAAATTGCAATCAGTGAACATTAGCAATGTGGATAGCAGTGAAAAAAGTTATCAGATATCCTATAATGATAAATGTATGTACCTATATACATCGTATGATATAACCACTGGAAGCAAATAACAGATACTTTTATATATCCTGCAGTCCAGCCTTTTTTGTTATATTTATTGCACTCGCTTGCTGTGGGAATATCCGCCGGGAAGTGCCTGCAAATTACATTCTCCTGGGATTGTTTGTAAGTAAACCTAGTCAGCACCTGTTTTAGCTTATTATTAAAATCATTCCTTTTGTGGTGGTGGAAACTCTTCCCATGGAGTAATGCAGCTAGGAATTATTTGTGAAACGCTCCCTTGAGGGAATTCTGGTGGAGAGGAAGTAATAAACTGAGCCATGAGATAACGGCCATGCCCTTTCAGCAAGTTTGAGAATTGGGGATCCCAGCCTACTTCAGCGCTGGCAAATTCACGTCTGATGAGGCCACACAGGAAACCCACTCCCTGGTCAGGGCTGTTTCATGGGCAGTTAGTTCATCTCACTGCCACTGGGCTTCTGTCAGGCACGACACACACATTTTGGTAGGCAGCACGGATTCCACATCTGTTCTACAAACTCAGGAACAAGAAATGTAACTTTGTAAAGCGTATTTTATTCCTATTTCAAGCCTTTTGGGAACAAGAGGCATCTTTGGGCTCAGGTTCTTCCCTAGTTCCACGACTTTCTTCTCAGTTCTACAGGGCTTTTCTAGTTTCCAAGACGGTCCTTAGCTTTTGTCACTGATCCAGTCTGGTTCCTGGGTCACCAGGGTCTCATTTCAAGGATGTGTTTCCCGCACACAGGGTTGTCATGCCTGCCCTTTTCTGTCTGACACTCAGTGCCAATTTCTTTTTGTCTTGCTCAGGATCATGGCAGCTCTCAGCAGGCACCTGCGCTAAATCTGAACAGAACCTGAATTTACCCAACCCAAGGTTCCACTCACCCAAAGGTCTGAGGGTTATCTTCAGGGACTCAACAGCAGCTAATAGTCATTCCTCCAACCCCGTCTTCCACTTCACAGTCAGGCCAAACCTCTCGCTGCCTGGAGGCATTGGCCTCTCAGAAGCTTACTGACAGCAATCGCTATGGTGTTTTGCTTCTCTTGAGAAAATCTAGACCCCTCCCAGCCATCCCTGTGGGATTCAAGATACTGCCAGCAAGTGATGGGGGTGGGATTTGTGTCTCTTTCCATGCAGTAGACAACTCTTTCCTTTGAAGATTTATTTACCAGTTGATTTATTCCTCATCTGGTTCCAATCAGATTTGAGGTCGCTTGTGCAAACATCTATAATATAAGAAGATAAGCTGATAGAGAAATCTGAAAGAAAAATAGGGTAGGAAAACACAGTGGGTAGATTAGAACGCAAAACTGTTAAGGCCTATGCACTTGAATGCCATGATCCTAGATTTTGTTCTTGCCCCCTTGGGTTGAAGCAAGCAAGGACACATGACCAACAGTGTGAGTCTTAGGGGGAATAGCTTCCCCCTGAGGCTGGACAAGGCTGTCTGTCTGCTGTCCAGAGCTGGGTACTTCCTTGGTTGTCAGAGAGCTGGGGAGCCTTTCTTACTGACGTGGATCCCCTGCTCCTTGCACAGGCCAGCAAGTGGGGTGTCCCAGTTACTTCCCTGACAGCGCAGGGTACACTTAACAGGGAATGGGGCCACAAACCAGGTACAGGAAGGTCCTGAGGGACCCCGAGGCAGAGACAGTGGCAGGGAGCACTGCCAAGGCAGGAGTGCTGTTTGCTCAGAAATGTTTGAATTCTTTATTTTAAAATTTGAAATGATCTTAAGGTTTAGTATAAGAAGAGATGTAAGTTATTGCTGTCTGAAGAAGCTTTCAATTGAGGTTTTCGTCCTTTATCTCAAAGCAAGTGACAGCTTAAGAGAAAATATATTGAAGAAGTAATTGTATTTGCTAGGCTAACTGTCTCACCCACGTGTTAGGAAACATATGGGAAAAAAACATTTTAGAAAAGGAACTGAGGGGAAACAAAAACACACTCATTGAAGACAGCTTTTGTCCCCTGGCCTTGTGACTCTTGGAACCCATGTTCACCAAACAGCCAAGGGTACCTGGTGAATTTGACTTAGACAGCGTCTTCCAGCCAGGAACCATCCCTGCTTTCTTGCCTGTTCCCTGTTCTCCCCACCTCTCCTAACTACACACACGCACACGCACACGCACACGCACGCACACGCACACGCACACACACACGCACCCTTTTCGTGTGCTGAAGCAACTGAAGTAGGAGAAAAGGAAATAAATACCTCACGAGGAAGGTTGGAAGTGAGCGTATTATTAGAATGTCACGTGGACGTGGAATAGATACACCCTTTTCTCTATAAGCGAAAGACAGCTTGCTTTGGTAAGTTTTACAAAGCAGAGATGCGCGTGGTCACCCACTGGGTCTGGGAAATCCAGAACTTTCTAGCTCCACCTCTTTTCTCACCTCTGATCCTGCTTCTCGTTGGTCGGCTGGAGAAGTTCAAAGCCAGCCTCTAGTCCTAGCGCTTTGTAAGGATATGTCATCTTCCTTTGTATCCTCTGAGACTGGACGACTCTTCCTTGGGTCTTTTCATGGACAGGGAGTCCTGAGTCCGTGAGTCCTCTGAGTCCCTGGATTTCTTCTGACAGAGATTTTTGCAAGCTAAGGAACATCTCCACCCCATAATCTCTGCTGGTGTCCTTATACTACAGCTTCAAGGGCCTGAGCCTGACCACAGGCCTGACGTAGCCCTTCTTGGTCTCACCCTTCACCTTGACTGCACTCTGGCTTTCAGCCTCTGTTTCTCTCCCATGCTGTCCCCATGCGGGGTCCATTTGGGTGGTCGGAGTCCTGCAGCAAAGTTCTCCTGCAGCCTTCTCCCCCTGGATGGCATCTACAGCTGGAGCTCCATACTCTAGTGGCCACTGCCCCCCAGCCCCATCTCATGGCACTGAAGACGCGTCCATTCTCACTAGGTCGGTGGTTTGAAGAAATATTTTATGCTCATCAGGTACTATGGAACATGTCAGTACCAAACCAGTGTGAAGCGTTAATGGACACAGCATATCTGGTCCTGATACAATGTTAAGACACTACGTGAGTGGCCTCATTTGATTAACGATGATATAGTCTATGAATGAACCCTTCCCACTTTACATTTAATTCCCTGAAGATGTTAAAGTTCCTGTTGTGTGCTAACAAAGCTCTCCTAACTTGTCAGTCCTAGGAAGAATGGTATGGACATGACTCGTTGTCCTCATACCCCGTGGCTGTGTGCACTGGGGTTGGACACATTCCCACTTGCTCCCTAGACCTGGCCCGAAGGCACACACTTTACATCACGTCTTTTGGATGCTGAGTCTTAGCCTCAGTCCTCGAAAAGCAGGCTTCTGATTTATTGTACATTTTGTTTTTAGACGGTTCTTGAAGGTCTGCTGCTAGGAACTGTATCGGTGTAAGTCTTTGATACACATTTATTTATTTTTTATTATTTGTGCTTTTCTTCGAGTGCATGTGAACGGTAACTGCAGTCTCTGATTTTAGTTTCTATAGTGCTGAGGAAGTGCTGTGGGCAACGGCGACAACCACTCTGGTGACCTTAGCGATCACTCTATTTGCTCTACAAACAAAAGTACGTATCACGGAGGGGATTTCTGCAGTAAGGGTGTGCTGCCTATGTCCCTCTGTCCCTCCTGACCCCTTTGCACACCCTGCAGGCCTCTGCACCACCACCCTGTACCTCTGGCATTTTGTGGGCTTGGGTCAGTGGGAGCCCCAGCCCGAGATGAGAACAGGAGGAGAGAGAGTCTTGTTCTCATGGCTTCCTCCACCACAGGCTCCTCTTCAGCTAGATGTGCTCCTTAGAAGAATTCACTGCCTGACTCAGTCTTCTGGGCTCCCTGTCCTCTTCCTTCCTGCCAGCCTAGGCTCACTCATGCGGTTCCCCTGGAGACACTTTTGTAGATGGTTCCCGTACAAACACACACTCCCCAAGCCACACAATTTGAGTGTGCTGAGGACCCGCTTGATGGGAGGAGCTCAAGTTCCAGAAAGCTGTACAGTTCACCCTGCTAAAAGACACCAAGTTTGCCCAGGGAGTACCTCGGAGGAGCTTGGGGCTGTTACTGTTTAACTCTTGACGCCAGAGTCTCTCCTGCTGAAGCGCTCCCTGAGACTTGATGAGGAATTCTCAGCAGTCCTTTCCTTTCTTTTCACCACATTCTTTTGGTAAATGATAGACTTGTCAGAAGCAAGCGCAGTTTCTCAAATCACATGCAAAAGAAAGGCCGTCAGAATCACAGCAGGCTATTCAACACAAACCCTCAGGTCAAGGAGAGCCTGGAGTGAGGTGTTTCAAGCCCTAATTGAAAGCAACCGCCAGCAGGGCATGGTGACATTTGCCTGTAATCCCAGCATGCAGGAGGCTGAGGCAGGAGGATCGCTGTGAGTTCGAGACCAGCATAGTGAGTTCCAGGTCGTTCTCAACTACATAGTGAGACCCTTCTTCAAAAAAACAAAACAAAACACAACAAAAACCCCCAAACAAACAAAACAAAACAAAAAGAAAAAAAGAAAGAAAACAGCCTCCAACCTAGACTGATATATATCCTGCAAAATTCTCTTTTAAAATGAATGGGGAAATAAGATACTTCCATGACAAAGAACACCTGAGAAACTTCATGAATACCAAACTAGCACTCCAAACAATTCCAAACAATATCCTAGAAAAAGACAATGAAGGTCACAACACCATGAGGCCCAATGGAGCAAATCTATTAGGCAAGGCAAGAAATTAAAGGAGGGGGATTAAAAGAGCCAACAACAGGACAGTCACATGATAAGTCAATACATATCAATTGTAACTATCAATGTCAATGGCCTCAATTCACCAATCAAAAGAAATAGACTGTCAGAATGGATTAAGAAGCAAAACCCAACAATACGTTTTTTGTTTTTTTTGTTTTTTTGAGACAGGGTCTCACTATGTAGTTGAGACTGACCTGGAACTCACTATGTAGCCCAGGCTAGTCTCGAACTCACAGCCATCCTCCTGCCTCAGCCTCCTGAGTGCTGGGATTACAGGCCTGCGCCACCACGCCCGGCTCCAACAATATGTTGTATACAAGAAACACACCTAGTTCAAAAAAAATTCATAAGACTAAAAGTAAAAGGATGGAAAACAGTTGCCCAAGCGACAGGAGCCCAGAAAAAAGCAGGGGTAGCTATCTTATTAGCAGACAAAGTCAATTTCAAACCAGAAGCAAGTGTAGCTTCTAAATTGTTTGGTACATGTCTCAGGGAAGGTCTTATACTTATGCAGAACTTTATCCTTTCCTGCTGGAAAAAGGAAGAAGTGGCAGAGACGCAGAAGGGTCTACGAGGTGGTCAAATGTTACCAATTTTATAAAAATTTAGTGATTCAACTTTATTTCATCACAGATGACCATTTCCGTCTCAAAGCAGGTCATTTGTAAAACCCATGTTATTTGTAGAGATTTGTCTGTCTGCAGTGAGAAGGGAAGGCCACAGCGGAATGCAGAAATTCGTCTCACCATTGAAAATCCCCTGAAATGCCAGAATACCCTTTAAAAAGCTTATTTGCATGAATGACTTAAAAAGGTGTAGAACTGTTCAGCTAAGCTAATTTTTTCTGATTAAGTTGTTTGATGGAGGGTTTGCCACATTCACTCACCACAGCACACAGGCTGCAGAGGAAATGAAGCCACACAATGTGCCTGAATTCTCTCAAGACCTCCACCTGCCCACTTGGCAGGGGAGAAATGAAATGTGCATTTGGCTTAGATCTAATATCCTTGAAACAGCTCCTTCGGGCTGGATAATAGGATCGCAGGGATACACAATGCTCAGCCTCCTGATGTACCTTCTTTTCTCATAAAGGTGGGGTGAGTGCGTGTGAGCCAGGAGGCTATGCTGTGAGTCACTGATCCTGAATGAGTTCCCTGGGACCCTGGAGTCACTGTGTGCTCTGCGAGTCTCTGAGGCTGAGAGCAGCCACTGGTGTGACTCAGAACCTGAGGACCTTGCATCTAGTCCAGCCCTTCAGAGCTCCGTACCTGAACTAACCTCACCCCTTCTTTCTGCCAACATGGAGCAAGCCTTAGGTTTCACTGTCATGAGCCAAATTTACTGCTCTCTAGACTTGAGCTGTCCAAGACAAGTATAATGTGTGACACACATCAATACATGCTTAATTTTAAATTTGCTAAACCAGGCATGGCGGCACATGCCTGTAATCCCAGCATGCAGGAGGCTGAGACAGGAGGATCCCTATAAGTTTGAGGCCAACCTGGGCTATGTAGTGAGTTCAAGGCCAGCTTGAACTACAGAGTGAGGAGGCCAACCTGGGCTATGTAGTGAGTTCAAGGCCAGCTTGAACTACAGAGTGAGACCTTGGCTCAAAAATAAAATAAGATAAATTTGATAATAATTCTAAAAATGAAAAGATAAAATTAATTTTAATAACATACTTTAACCCACGTATATTTAATATTATCATTTCAACATGTAACAAAGATATATTTTACATTCTACTTTTTATCCAAAAGTCAGAATGAATGTGTGTTTTGTACTTACAACACACCTCAGTTGGGACTAGCCACTTTTCAAGGGCTGTACAGTAGCTACCTGTAGCTAGCAGCCATTGCGCTGAAGATGTAGCTCCAGACAGTCTGGTGCATCAGAATCCCTGCAGGGCTGGGTTCCCACCCTGGAGTGGTGAAACGTCAGGTCCAGGCTGGGGCCGGCTCGATGCCTTTCCCAGGGGTGACTGTAGGTGCTGCAGGTCTGAGATCTGGTGCCTGGCTAGTTCTCCCTGTGTGTTAGGGGAGGCGATGGGGGACACACAAGAAGATAGTTTGCATATCATGCTTATTTTGTTGCATAATACAACTTTTTTAGCCCACAGGATAAAATATCTCTTTTCTTAAAAAAAAAAAGTCCCTAACCTCCCAAGATGATTTAGGTCACACATTTATGTAGGCAAAACCAAACATCACATGAATAAATTTGGAATTGCAAGAGAATAATTAACAATATTTTTGAAAGCATAATATATATTTTATTAAATATATACATGTTTACGTATATAAAGGTACCCATTTAACATCTCGATATGTTTCATTTCAGTAATGTTTTCCATGTATATGTTCTTAGAATTATAAATCATTATGATCATACAAGTTTACATCTTAATGTACCTTTTTATTAGAGGATACTTCATATAAATACAAAAGTAGAATAGTATAATGAATCTTCATACACCCATTACCCAAGTTTCAGAAATTGTCGCCTTGTGACTCCTACTTTTTACTTCCTCCTGGAGCAAGTTTCAGTCAATAAAGCACGTTTTATATAGCATTTTTTAGTGGGGCTACTGAATTTCTGTTGTTCTCTGAATTGGCCTGGGGAAATTGTGAGCAGGGGTCCAGTGTATACAACTCTGGGGTATAAAACTCATTTCTAAACATCCTGAAGTTCCTTCTAGATGTTAACTGAGTTGCTGTGCACTGTTGTTTCCTCAGTGGGATTTTACCTGGCTAAATGGAACACTGTTTGTTTTCCTCTGCGTACTTCTCATCTATGGAATTTTGATGCTCTTCATACGATCATATGTAAGTGGTCTTTCATGTGGGACCCTCATGGAACTGCTAAAAGTATGGGTAAAGTGCTGGCTGTGCTGGTCTGCGTTCTCTGAGAAGTAGACATGGAATTAGGACCAAGCATGCAAGGATTTTAAGAGGAGACATGTTGTTCCGGCTTGTGTCTAGATGTCCCCCCAAAGCCTCATGCTTTTTAAAAGACGGCTGAATCTAGAGAGTGTCATTGATTCATGGTGCAGTGCTAGGATTAAGGGTGGGTGATTACTAAATCAGTCCACTGATTGCTTTGGCACCGCCATAGTCCCAGTAGCCTGGGCGCAATATAAGGGACAGAGGCTTGCAAGGTCCCTTGCCCCCTTGCTTGTTTTTGCTGTCTTCTGCCTGCCATGATCCACTCTGCCAAACCATCCCCTTGGAACTGGCTGATTATGGACTGAAACCTCTTCAAACTGTGAGCTAAATAATCCCCCCCCCACACCTTAACTGTTCATGTTGGGAATTTTGTCTCAGCAATAAGAGAACGTAACTAAGACACACGCCCAAGAGAGAAAAGCGGGAGTGAGCTGATGCAGGTTTGAGAGAGCTCGCAGACCAGGATGGCATACCTGACCCCAAGTGAAGCAAGGTTAGATAGGGAGCATTCAGGACATGATGTGGCCTCAGTAAGGTCCCCTGCCTCCCAGGAAGGGCCCGGCTGCTGCTGGACGATGATGAGCAAGTGCCCAAGACCAGCTGCCATGAGTTGCACAGTCCAGCAGCTGGACCATTAGCTGCCCTCCTGGTAGCTGAAAACCTGTGAAGTCCATCCTGGTGGTACAGCTGTCATCAGAACATGCCATCCACAGGGAGATCCAGTGCACGAATATTGAACTCCAGGTCTAGACTACAGTGTCCTTCCTCAGTGGATCCTCGAGGGGACCTACTTGCAGGGCTTGGCCTGGCTCCTCCTGTAGGTGGGTGCTACTTGTTTGAAGGAATAGACCTCTCCCAACAGCAGCCTAGAGGTTCCTTGTCCAATCCCAGGTGTGTGTGTGTGTGTGTGTGTGTGTGTGTGAGACAGAGTCTTGCTAGGTAGTTTGTGCCAGCCTTGAACTCACTATGCAACCCAGGCTGGCCTTGAACTTACAGTGATCCTTCTGCCTCAATTTCTTAAGTGCTGTGATTATGGGCATGTGTTACCAATTCCAGTGTTTTAAAAAACTCTTGAATATATTCATTGAGTCCTTATTTGATATCAGGCATAGATCTAAGAGTTTTTCACACAGGCATTACATGGAACTCTCACAACATTCCTAAAAAGTACATCGCTCCTCCATAGATAACAGAGCCTCAGGGAAATTAAATAATTTAGAGAGTTCCCCCTGGATAAGGGGCAGAGGTGGCATGGAGACACTGGCACCCAAGATCTTTGCCCTCATTGCACGTCTTTGGACTGACTCTGGGGCAGGTGTGGGGACAGGAGTCTTTACCTAGCCCTGTGGTTCCTGTCTGTGAGTGGCCCCTGTGTGGAGACCTTGTTGAAGGAAGATTGGCTGAATCAACTGGGTTCAAATGCTAAACCAAATAGTTGTTTAGTTTTTTTTTTTGCAACAAATGGGCTTGTTACACTATCTTGCAGCATATAACCAAAGGTCCTGCCTTGGTTGACTTAACTTTATGAATGACCACTTATCTTATAGGGAGGAAGGTGGCATCTATATTTTGGGACAAGTGCAAAAGCATCACAAACATGTGTCTTAAAAGGTTACAGCTCTCTATTATTACTGGTGGTAGCAGAGATAACGGTAATCAGAGTAGAAACATTTATTAGGTGGATTGCAGAGGTCTTTATAGTATCACTTATATGTATCTCTTATTATAGATTGACTTGATTCTCAATCTAAATGTCCTTTTACAAATATCTACAATCTGTGATATTACACACGTTTAAATGGAAGAGGACTGTGGTGGAGTCTTGTCCTAAGTTACATCATGGTTGACTTGGGCAATTTTGAATCCTCTTGACTTCAGGTGCTACGCGTTTCCTGACTGAACTTAGTTTGGAACCACTGCCTACCCCATGGCCCAGTCCCTAGTTATTGATTTCTAATCTTACTTTTTCACCAAGAAACTTTCCTGGCTAGTGGATCGCTCTGCCCAAACCTCTCGGGAGCAGCTTTCTCCCCCTGAAGAATTTGTGCCATATTTTTCTCAGGTGTTGTGTACTCTTGTTTATTCTCTTTCCATGTGAGCCAAAACCCTTGGGCATTTATATTAGTCCTGTATTCTGCTCAGGGCTGTTCTGGTTTCCAGGAACAGATCACACTCTGACTAGCTGAGGTAAAGGCCCAGAACCTCTCCACTGTGGGAAGAACTGGGCTCCTCTGGGGTTGACTGGACAGCTGTACTCATGCAGTTAAGAGCTCTGGCTCTGGCCAATGACATCTTCTTCTGCTGTTTGTGTCTCTTGATCCTGAAAATTGATTTCTGACTGCCTGGCACATTTGTTGAAACTGTTACAGAGCTTAATTCCTGATCAGTCAGATTTTGCTGTCTTCTACCTCAACACATCCTCCAGCTAGGGCGTGAGGGGTCACTGTACTTGCAAGGATGTCTGTTCCTTGATCTAAGGGAGGGCAGATTATCCAGAAGGGCTATCTAGATGGGGCAAAAAGAGCAGCGTATCTAAAACGTTCTTGCCCTACCACAGGAGACGTGGAGCGCTTCCCTCACCTTGTGAATAGTTTTTCGGTGAGCACAATATTAGCTTTCCTTTGGTTACTTACCAGAATTTAGTGATCAAGAAAAGGCTAATTTCCCCACAGATGTGACCACCTTCTTCTTCTCCCACTCCTTCTCCTCCTCTTCCTCCTCCTTCTTCTCTTCCTCTTCTTCTTCGTCCTCCTCCCCCTCCCATTCCTTCTTCTCCTTCTCCTTTTGGTACCAGGGCTCAAACTCAGGGCCTTGCGTTTTTGAGGCAGGCAGTGGCATCACTGAGCTAAATCCCAGACCCTTGACTTTCTTAATATCGGACCCTTATTTCTCCCCAGTGACCGACATAAGCCCTTTTGTTACTCTAGATCTTAAGCTATAACTGTTTCCTTTCTGCAGTGGCTGAACCTATTGTACGCTGCACTCGGAACCCTGGTGTTCTCCTTGGTAAGTCCATTTCTCCCTCCCTGATAAGGTGTGGGTTAGTCACCTGCAGTCAGTAATTCATTAGAAACCCTCCAGCAATGCGCTGCCTGTTAAAATCATCATCCCCAAGAAAAGCTGAATGATCCTCCCAGCCTATAGAACATTGCTTTCCTTGAAAGAGACAATATTTAAGAGAACAAAAGATTATTCATAAACCAGAAAGCTTACTACAGCAGGCTGCAGTTTCATTTTTCCCATCCAGATTAGTGTCTCATCAGGAAATTCTAGGGAAATGGCAGAGGTCACTACTGATGCATCTAAGAATCGCTTTCCTTCCTTTTAGTCTCCTATCTTGCTATCATATCTTTGCAATTATTTTAAAGAATATTTTTTAAAAAAGTAATAATGCACATCTTAAAATTCAGATGACATAGAATATTATAAAATAAACATAAAAAATCTCTTATTACTCTTCCTTGGAAGAAACCACTGTTAGCAGTTTTGGGAACCTGGGCAGGATTTCTTTACACATATTTCCCAATTCCTCTGGGACTCATTTATTCATACTATACATAATATTCTGCCTTGGCCTTTTCTCAAGAAGTTGTGGTCTTTATATATTAACATACCTGGGTCTCACTCCTATGGTTTCCCATTTTACACATTTATCAGGCTACCTGTCTTAGGGCTTTTGTTGTGTATTTATTTATCTGCTTATTTGTGGGTGTTTGGGATTGAACCCAGGGCCTTGAATGTGGAAGCCAGCCATGGCCCATTGGCTTTTTGAAAGATAACATTTGTTCCTCTTTAAGGACTGCACGTGTTAAACTTGTTTCTGACCCTGCACGAGAGAAACTCGGAGAGCCAAAGATCTGTAAGAGTTAGGTACTTCCTGTTAAAGATCTGACGTTAGCTGTAGGAGTCAGGTGTTTCCTGTTGATGTGCCTTTAAAAGGCTGATGCTTGCTTGCAATAAACGCCGCCTTGATCAGACTCTTGTCTTGGCGTCCTTTTCTCTCTGCCCCATCTCCACCCCGCTGCTCTTTCAGGTTTGAGACACTGCTGGACAGTGCTCTGCGTCGCTGGATCGCGACACTTGAACCTGCCAAGTATTGACCTACGCTCCTACCACCCGTGGCTTTTAGGAAAATGACATTAATTTGAAGATTTTCCAACATACACCCAGAAATAGAATAGCATATAGTAAGTCCCAGAATTATCAAGCATCAAAACCAGCTATGTTTGCTACATCGTATTCTTTTGTGATGGTGTTGGAATTGTGTTGTGTCTTTTAGGTGCTGGAAAATTTTATACCAAGAGATTAAGGTTAATTTGATTTTCTCCTTTCAACCATTAAAAATTATTTTGGGACCAGGGATTGAACTCGGGTCCTTGCGCTTGCAAGGCAGGCCACCAAACTGCTGAGATAAACCTCCAGCCCCTCTCAACCATTTTAAAAGGGCCTGGTTTCCTCCTTTACTCCTGTGCACTCAGCCTATGTGTTGTTGCTGTGCCTCTTGTGACCTGTTTTAGGCACAGTCTGTTTCTATGCTGTATGTTAATGTTCTGTCCCGTTTGTAGGCAGAGCAAAAACTCTCCTGTAGACTCGGATCACTCAACATCAAGCATCAGGAGGAGGAACCCGAGTGTTAACTACCAGAGTTGTGCAGGGGGAAGAGGCCGAGTCCCATCCTTCCCAAGGCTCCTGGGGCCTCCTGTCCACTGCCTGCTTCCCTGTGGGGGGCAGTCTTGCGAGATAGGCACAGCCCGTCTTTCTCTCCTACTGTCTGCTTTCAGACATGCTAACCTCTTCTGAGAAGCCACACGCTTGACCATCCAGGCCATGTCTGGGAAACGATTAAGAAGTGAGAAAAGCTCTTCTTCACAGAAGTTAGGACTCCCAGGGTGAAAGATGGGACAAAATGGAATGTTCAGCCCCCTAGGGTTGTTTTGGGTGAACAAAGTCCCCAACTAAAGGGTTTTTGAGGACCTGGAAATCAGAATGGTTGCTCACTCTAGCTGTTGATCTGTCACGAGCCGGCGACGCAGAGCACTGTCCAGCAGTGTCTCAAACCTGAAAGAGCAGCGGGGTGGAGATGGGGCAGAGAGAAAAGAAGGACGCCAAGACAAGAGTCTGATCAAGGCGACGTTTATTACAGGCAGGCATCAGCCTTTTACAGGAAAAGACTGAACTATTATGGGCTAGGATTACCATAGTAACCTCAACACCTGCTCCACGGGAACGAGGGTTCACACAGGAAAGAGAAAGCAGGCTCAAGAAAAACAAATTAACAACACTTGCAACTAATAATCATGATTCCCAAATAGGTGGAGGAACTTAACAAAATGGAGTTACAACACCTGACTCCTACAGATAACGTCAGATCTTTAACAGGAAGCACCTGACTCCTACAGATCTTTGGCTGTCCGAGTTTCTCCCGTGCAGGGTCAAAGACAAGTTTAACACGTGCAGTCCTTAAAAAGGAACAAATGTTATCTTTCAAAAAGCCAGTGGGCCATGGCTGGCTTCACACATATCCCCCTTTTTATTATATTTAGAGCAGGGACTTTCCCTGTTCAGCAGAAAGGCTGTGCCTGTCTTAGGTGAGAAATGTCCAGAGAAATCCCTTACCCGTCATCAAGCCATGAGCAGTTTAATACTCAGGCTCTGTCTTAGGTTGGATATTTCTCCACAATTCTCTAACCCGTCTTTGACTACCAGCCTCTGCAGGGGGTATACCATGGGTTGTGAAGGCTTGCCATGTAGCTTTTTCTACCTCTATCAATATTTGTAATCCTTGTTCCTCATACCAGGACTCATTAATTTTTACAGGCATCATTACAAAGAGAGGTTGTCTCAAACCCATCACAAAATGAAAGGAAGTCACCATTTCTGAGAATATACAATTGGTCAATTGACAATATTATCAGTTTCATAAACAATCTCTATGAGCATTAACACAAGACATTATATTAGAGGCCCCATGCCAACAATATTGAAACTAAGGCTAGTAACTTAGACATCTGACCATAAGCGTATTTCTCCCAATGCAGCAGGTTTCCAAATGTTGGTTTGAGGAAAATGTGAATCTGTTTACCAAAGTCCTGCAGATAAGCTTAAGTTTGTGGAATTTCGAGTGACCAGTCTAAAAACTTTCGAGATGTGTCATTAAATCACAAGTCCCATTAAATCCTCATTCTGGATAAAGAAGGAAAACTTTTTGCTTTTTGAAAAGAAATTTCCACTTGTGCACGGAGACACATCCTGGAGTTTTTCTCTGCTGCTTCAGTGTTGGGGTCCCAATCTAGTCTCCTCAGTGGAAACCCAGATTCAAGCTGTTCAGGGATAGTGGTGGGTCTATAAATGTAACTGTAACCATAAGTAGGTGGAGCAGAAGAGAAGGGAGAATACCTGGACCAAAAGGTTATTATCATAAACAATATGCTGGAAAACCTGCATGGTCAAATATGGCGAGCCATTATGGTGAGCCTTGACACAGGCACGGAGGTGCACTCGCCCATAGCCACGGGCGAGTTCAGCTAGTAGCAGATGTAACCCATAATGGTCGTTATTGTTTCCCTCTGGAATGTGTGGGCGGTGCCCTCGCTCCCTCGCTCCCTCGCTCCCTCGCTCCCTCGCTCCCTCGCTCCCTCGCTCCCGTGCAGCCCTCGCTCCCTCGCTCCCTCGCTTCCGTGCAGCCCTCGCTCCCATGCAGCTGGAGAGTATAAAAGGAAGAGGTTCAGTAATAAAGCAAGCAACTGAAGAAGAAAGGTGCCTCCCGTCTCTCTGTCCTCATCCTTTCAGGTTTAGGACCTGCTGGCAGGATCCTGACGTCGCGGCTCGCGACAAGTGGCGCCCGAACAGGGACCTGAAAGAATGAGGATATGCAATCCCGGACCCAGGTCGAAGGTAGTGACGGTGCTCCGGAGGACTGACCGCTGCGCCTGATCCACGCAGTAAGTCTACCGTTCACTTCATGAACTCCGGACCCAGGTCGAAGGTAGCGACGGTGCTCCGGAGGAAGGTAAAAAGAAAGTAAAAATAAAATAAAATAAAAAATAAAAAAAATAAAAAGATAAAGAGAAAAAAGTGAGAGAAGGTAGAGAGTGTCAGATCCATTAGGGAAGAAAAAAAAAAAAAAAAAAAAAAAAAAAAAATGGGACAATCAGAATCCAAAAGTTATCTAGCGGATTCAATTCAGAGCCTACTGAAGGCACAAGGAGTAACAGTTGAGAGGGCAAGATTAGAGGCCTTTGTTAAGATTCTGGACACAGTTTGTCCATGGCTATGTAATAAGGCAGAAATAAATACTGAAGTATGGGAGACAGTCGGAAACCAGTTGGATGAAGCCCTTCTGGCCGAGCCTAATCGTTTCCCAGAAGGTGCTCCTTTTTATTGGGCTTTGTTAAACGCAGCTCTCACGACCCCAACCAAAAAGGAAATCTTGGAAGCCTTAGAGAAGGTGCATGTAGGGTTAGAACAAGTTAGAGAGGAGCGCTCTCAGACTTCAGAGTCCCCTGAATCCGGAAAATGTCCCCTTTCACTTGAGCCCCCTGAGCCTCCGGATTCCGGAGGACCTCCTGTAGCACTATATCCCAGTTTTGAGGCTTTTCAACAAAAACTTGAGCGTCCACCTCCTTCTGCGCCCCCTCCCACTCAGAGGGAGGCAAACCTGGCTCAGCTGCGCACTATTAATCAGGAGCTCAGTGAGGAACTTCAGCTGAGGCAGCAGATTTCATGCCTCTCGAGCAGACTTGCGTCTCTTCATGCCTCAGAGGCCAGGCCTACCAATGAGACCAATGGTAAAGACCCCATAACATCTGAAGGGTCTCAAGGCATAGCATCTCCTTTACAAGAGGCTCTTAAACGCGCCGCAGCACAAGGGGAGGAAATCTTTAGACTATTCCCCGTCATTCAGGTAGAGGGACCCCAAGGGCCGATTAGAGAACATCGCCCTCTTGAATTCAAATTGGTAAAAGAATTAAAAACTGCTGTAAATCAGTATGGCACTGCAGCTCCCT